ATGCATACCTTCGACCAATTTGTTGCCATGTTCCTTTTTGGCAAATTGGAGCCGAGCCTCCTTGTGGGACTCGGTAAGTCGCGGAGCAGGGCGAAGACGACATCTAACTATGTTGCTGTTGCGCTTGATTGCCCTCCATATCGTCATTCTAGAAACTGGATCCGGTAAAGTGGCTCGAACTCCACTGATGCTGATGGTCGAGTTGGAAACAAGTCGTCCTATCGCACGTTCTTGTTGTGGAGTCAGCTTTTTCGGCCTCCCAGATCTCTTCCTTCTTCCGTAGGATTCTGGATCACTCAGAAATCGGTCGACGAGTCTTGATGAAGCGTCGCAGTTGTTGAGCGATTTGACGATTGCTCAGGCCTGCTGTGTGCAGGGCGCAAACCTGTGCCTGCTCGGCTTCTGACAAATGAGGACCTCGTGGCATTTTGCGATATTGTGCAGAGTACTCATTACTATTATTGTTTCCTTGAAACGGCAACTTCTCTGAGTGTAGTCTCTTTTTTGAACCACTTTTGGAAAGTGCGTCTATACTTTTGATACAGGCAAAATAATACCCACCGTTGGAAAAAGCTTGAATTATTCCCATTTCACGTGAAAAGTGCTGAACCTGGGTTTTCCAGCATGGCGATTCATGTGGGCATAGGATTGTTTGTCAAGAACTTCTGAGGAGTACTGGTGCGCACTGTATAGTTTTAGCTGCTATGTTAGAGATAGACCGTGGTTACGTTTACCAACCTAAAGCCCTGCGTCGTTACCTCATACCTATTGACGGCACACGCTGCTGTTTCGTGCAAAATACAGTTCTGCGACGATATGGAACGATGCGGCCAAAGTTCTGAAATTTAGTCTAAATCACTGGAATTCGACTTGCTCTGATAGATCCTATCCGTTTTCTCCTCGTTCTCTGTGCTATTCTTGGACCATTTTGCAAATTCGGATTTTAGCTCCGTCCACAATGTTGCATGGACAGCCTCCGATCGTTTTTAAGTGTGGTGACAAACTTCGCTTTCTTCGGTGCATGATCAGGCCTTCACTAGCAGTCGACCTCCTTTTCTTTGTTGTCCTAAATCCACTTTTTCCCGGTCTCCGGAACTTTTGAGGCCGAGTTAGGAGTTTGGTAGCAAATGCGCTCACTTCGGTGGCGCCCGCCATTAATATTTACCCTCCCATACCTCTATTCACCTCTTTCCTGCTCTCTAAGACTCCTTGAACCAATAATGAGGAATGGGGGGGGGGAACGCCGTCCACTTCAGAACACGCTGTGCCCATTGTGTTGTCCATCCCCATTGAAGGAGGGTCCCCTTATTCGATTTAGCTTATCAATGCACACCTTTACCCATTTTCCCCTTTGCTAGACTACTTCGAAAGAGAACTTGAAGTTCTCGTCTACAGCGCCGTACATTTCGATGAACCTCCGCCCTGTGTATGGTGCTCCGGTAAGCTGATGTGTTTTGTGTACAGGGTGGTCCAAAATTATGAGGACCAAGACATTGTGTCGTTAAAAACGCATAGTAGCTTGATGGAACAAACAAACTTCAGGGAAGTGTTTGTAACTCTTATCTCAAAGTAATTCCAGAATAGAATTGAGATCTGCCACCTGCCCCGTTTACACGAGCCTTCAGATGAAGGGGGATGGCGCGTGCGGTGGCACGCAACTGAGGCGTGTCAAATGTTTCCAGGCCTTCTGCTCTGCTTTCTTCAGGGGATCAAAGTTTTGTGGGGCATTTATTTGCGCTTGCATCCAGGGTGTGAAATACAGAAATCTAGAGCTATTAGGTGGAAGGTTCCATTGTAACAATTCTTCGAAAGCAACGAACTCGAAAAATCGCTTTTAGAGAATTTTTGCTTTATTCTTGGGTGCTCGGTCCTGTAAAAAGTCCCAAGTAGACTACTCAAGTGGCTTTCTATCCACTACAGATGTGGAGTCTTTAGAGTGTCTGGCTGGGTTTTCACATCAATTTTTTCATTTTGGGAGTACGAAAGTCGACAAGGGGAGAGCTAGTTTCTGCATCTGATAATTGTCCTGGTGGTAACTGTAACTTTCGAGTCTCCGAATTTTCCATCTGTGGTGGTTCCAAACTTATTGAAGAGTTGAACTGTTGCCCATAAGAGCTTCCCTGACGCTAGATGTAACGTGCCAGAGCCCCTAGTGAGTTCAATTTGAGGACTGACGTAAGGTGATGTAGTTATTTCACTAGTTTTGAGAACTCATGAAATTTGGTTTCATTAGGAAGAAGACATTGTACCCTCACATCACAAAGAGGATAAAAATGGAGACTTGAAAAAAGTGGATATGATCGCGCGCGCACGCGGTCCGCATAACTTTGGCTCACCCTGTACACACCGTGAGATATGGCCCACCCATCCCACGCTTGTCTCGTTCTCTCCATGGGCTCTTCAGGGAGTAGGGGATTATGTGTTAGGCACCGTGGCGGAGCCACACACGGAACGATAAAGGAGACTCCTATGGTAAGATGGAAATGGATCTACAGAAAGTTGGTCATCGTAGAACAATTAAAATGACTGTGATGTGTACTGTGTACACCGTTCTCCTTAAATCTATTGCACGGCAATACTGTTTTTTTTTGAGGATTCACCACGATTGCACGATTCGCTGATTTCTAATGAAGGATCCATTACACAAAGTGCTTGGATTGGAATCAGTAGAAGCAGCCCCATGAAGACTCGCATCAAAACTTTGATGCAATTACAAGATGTCAGTTCTCTTTTGAGTTTTCTTTTTCTTTGACCCATTGCGTATCATGGCGTTTTCTCACTGACCGGCGCCTGTTTTCACTTCATTCGCCGAAAACTGTTTAATGTACAACAAGTGCATCTATGTATTATATAAGCATCATACTCACTTTGACTGTCCAAGAATTTTAGTAAAAGTTTATCATTCTCTCCGTACAGCCGGCCAGACATTGCTTTCTTTCTAAGGAAAGATTCCCAGTTGCCCAGAAGCAACAGGACACAGGGACATTGTGAGGTCATCCATCCTAAGTACAGCAGAAATACTAGCTGCAGCGAATCAAGCAGAATGGCCTTGCAGGTACTACTTAATAGACCAAACGGTGCATTGATTCAGGGAGGAGCCTAAAGCTGTAGAACATTGCATGAAGTTTTTATCTACCTTACCACTGCAACTTTGAGGATCCACTACAGTAATCTGGATCCTCGATTATAGTGGTAGGGTAGATAAAAGCAGGGTCAGTCCTATCGTTGTTACTTTTTGAAAAATTTTTACGACCCCCCTCCCCCAAGGTGGATTTGGTACGACCCCCTTTTCGACCCTCGACCACCATATTCCTCTCTATAGTATTTAATTCTGGTACCACTCAACCCACCAAACTCCGCCCACTTTTTCCTCCAAAAATGCCGTCGAGCGGGGGTATATACGCGCGCTGAAACGGCGAATTTTTCTCCCGAGCGCTCGTTATTGGCAAAGAAGCTGAGGGCTTTTGCCTATTAATTGCTTGATTATAGGTGTGCGCGCCAATAAATTATGGTAAAAACAGAAAGCATCTCACGCTAATGCGCGCTCCTTGATGCTCTTGGAGTTTTCGCAATAAGGGCCATCCACAACTCACCCCTTCCACTGCAAATCCCATCAATCACCTTAGCCTAACGCTCGCAACCGCGGTTTTCTCTCTGCGCTTCACTCTATAGTCCCTTCTCTCTCCCACCGAACCGCTCCTTTTTCATCTGCAGTACCTCTATGTTCTATTTTCCAGATTTAGGTTGTGAGAAATCGCACACTGGAAGTTTCTACGCTAGAAGGTATCTGGCATGATTGTAATGACATGTTGAGTGATCCAGATGCCAAGATACCGACACTGAAGGTGCTCGCACAAATGACCGAAACGCAACACAGTCAGCTTGGACTTGCATTACGGCACACCTTTTTCAATGTAAACTTTGATCTTGCTTGATTCACAACAGTGATATGCAGTAAGCCGTCATCGTCGCTCATTTCACTCATTATTGCAGACAATCAGAGAACTTGGATGTGAAGAACTCACTGTTAGGTGGTTAACCGTGCTTTCTGAAGATGGCAAAACTATACATGGTTTTGAAAAGGTATTTCTCGAGATATTTGCATAGTTCAGTCATATATGTGGAATTTTGATCAAAGAAGGGTGATGGTGGAGTGCTTAGTTTTTTAGTTGGATTGGATTGTTAAGGCACCCCTTTTTGCAGTTGGAACTATTGCTTTGGAATGCACCATGCACCGGTCTACCCTTTGCTGATCATTGTGCTTACGAACCCTTTCTCGTTGGCCGAATACGATTCCTCGTTTAGACCTGGTGAACGGACCGGCTGACCCTGAAAATAAATAGAAGCTAGAAGTAGCAGTTTGAAATGAGAGACAGACCACCTGACGTGGGATTTTGATTCGAATTCTATCTTCTATACATATTCGCTTATTCTCTGAATGGAGAAAGAAACTCGCCTCCAAAAACCGCGAGTTCGATCCCTGCCGAGGCTCTAAACCATGCCTTGCAAAAATTGCAAAAATGGTTCTAGTACCAGCGTCAGGCCCAGGTTGACAGGCCGGCTGATGAATACCCCAGTCACCAACATGTCTAAAAGTTGAAAAAGAATCAGTGATAAAGCTAGGACGTCACCCGGAAGTGGCGCGCAGAACCCCCGCCCGAGTTCTGTGGTCAGTATGCGAGGGCTACCGAGGAGTGAACGGCCTCGGCCAAAGAAGCTAGTTCGAATAGGGACTCTGAACGTAGGATCGCTAACTGGGAAGTCCCGAGAGGTTGCTGATCTGATGACGCGCAGGAATATCCAAGTCCTATGCCTTCAGGAGACGCGATGGAAAGGTGCTAAGGCCAGGGAAATCGGGGAAGGTGTCAAGCTCTACTACAATGGAGAAGACACCAAGCGGAACGGCGTGGCCATAGCGGTAGCGGAGTCGCTCAAGGACTATGTCTCCGCTGTGAACAGGATCAGCGATCGGATCATGGCTGTGAGGATAGACACGAAGGAGGGGTACTGGTCAATACTCTCCGTGTACGCACCGCAAGCCGGGTGCCCCGAAAGTGATAAGGACGAGTTCTATCTGAGCTTGGACGAAGCCATAAGATCGTTCCGGAAGGCGATTACCTGACCATAGCAGGTGATCTGAATGGTCACGTCGGCAGTGACAGAAGAGGCCTAGAAAGGGTGCACGGAGGTAGAGGGATAGGAGTGAGGAACGCTGAGGGAGAGAGGGTCTGGACCTGGCTACAGCCCACGACTGGCAGTCTGCAGCACGTTCTTCGCGAAAAGGGAGACTCAAAAGGTAACCTACAGCAGTGGAGGGAGACAGACGGAAATTCGACCATGTGCTGGTAAGAAGATCAACCCTCAAAACTGTGAAGGATATCAAAGTTCTACCCGGCGAAGACCTGGCTCCCCAGCACAGGCCCCTCCTGGCAGACATTGCGATAGACCTCCCCAAGAAGACAAGGGTAAGAACCGAGAGGAGAATCCGGTGGTGGAAGCTGCACCAAGCGGAGAAGGATGACCTCAGGCGAAAGATAATGGAAGTCGGTCTCCCAGATCCTAACGGGCCAGTACAGCGGACTTGGGGCAACGCGGCTGAGACCATCCTGCGATGTGCCAAGGTCCTGGGTGAGACGCGAGGTGGATTCAGAGGAGACAAGGCAGCGTGGTTCTGGAACGAGGAGGTCCAGCGAGTCGTGAAGCAGAAGAAGGAAGCATACAAGCGCTGGCAGAAGACCCGGAGCCCCGAGACCTCGCTGCCTACAAGAGTTGCAAGAGGCTCGCTAAGGCTGCCGTCGCCAAGGCAAAGAACACGGAAATGGACGCCTTGTACGAGAAGTTGGAAAGCAGAAACGCAGAGAAGTTCGTCTTCAGGCTGGCTAAGGCCCGGCATCGGGCTACCCAAGACATCAGGGTGGTGAAAAGTGTGAAAGGCAGCGATGGTGTCATCCTAAGGAAGCCAGCCGAAGTCAAGAGGAGGTGGGAAGAGTACTACAGTGCACTTCTGAACGAGGAGTTCCCCCACAAGAACAACTCACGGGCAGAGGCCACAGCTGGTCCCATCGCACTCTGGACTGAGGATGAGGTTAGGTGTGCACTTGGGAGGATGAAGGTTGGAAGGCGGTTGGCCCAGATGGGGTGCCAATCGAGGCATGGAAGGCGCTCGGTGAGTACGGGATAAGATGGCTCACACGATTCCTCAACAACATAACTGCGGAAGGAAGGATGCCAGATGCCTGGAGAACAAGTACTATCGTCCCCATCTTCAAGCAGAAGGGTGACGCGATGGACTGCTCCAACTACCGCGGATCAAGTTGACTGCTCATACAATGAAGCTGTACGAGCGACTGGTCGACTCGAAACTGCGGGAGCTGGTCCCGATCTCCCAGGAACAGTTCGGGTTCATGCCCGAAAGGTCTACAACGGATGCCATCTTCATCGCAAGGCAAGTGATGGAGAAGTATCGAGAAAAGCGCCGACCCTGCTACCTAGCCTTCCTCGACCTGGAGAAGGCGTTCGACCGGCTACCGCGAGCAGTACTATGAGAGCGCTCAGGGAACGGAACGTGCCAGAACACCTGATCTCGCTGGTGAAGGACATGTACGAGGGCTAAGGCAGCCATACGCACCCCACACGGCCTAACAAAGGAGGTAAACATCACGGTTGGGGTGCACCAAGGGTCAGCTCTGAGCCCGTTCCTCTTCCTCCTAACACTAGATGTCCATGGTGAAGGGCTCATGGAAGGACCACTAAAGACCATCCTCTACGCTGACGACATCGCCCTGATAGCGGATAGCAGAGAGAACTACAGGCCAAGGTGCAGAAATGGCAGAAGGTCCTGGCAGAAGGTGGGCTCCGGCTGAATGTCAAGAAGACCAAGTTCCTGAGCTCCGAAGAGGGTGCAGAGCCGATCGTGGACGGCCATGGTGAAAGCATCGAAAGAGTGGAGGACTTCCGATACCTTGGGAGTGATCTGGCAGCCGACGGCAGTGTGGATCAGGCAGTAAGGGGAGGGGGTGAAACTCCAGTTCGGGGGGGCCACTCCATTTTTTCTCCAATACTCAAGATAAGGATTAGAGGGCTCACGACACGTAATCGACTCATTTAAAGTAGACTTCTGATAAATATTGGTGTAATGGGTGAGAAACCCTGAAACGTTTTCACATTTCCGCCTGCCATGACCCAAGGGAACGGTCCTGGACCAGGAGAAAGGACACCTCCGCAAAGGGCTAAGGGTGCAGGAGCTCCAGGGTGGATCACCTGTGCAGAAAAGTGGATGGGATGTGGGCAGGTAGTGTGGAATGTAGGACATCCACCGGTCCTTATCAAAAGTACGCTCGAAATGAGTCGTTCACTTATTATCTTATCCGTAGTGTTCGATAGCCCAAAGAACTGCTCTCTAGTACTACGGATAAGATAGCAATGGAGTGGCCCCCCGAACTGGAGTTTCACCAGGGGAGGATCAAGCGCATGGATGAAATGGAGGGAATCCACTGGAATCCTCTGCGATCGAAGGTGCTCCAGAACGCTCAAAGGGAAGGTGTACCGAACAGTGGTAAGGCCTGCGATGCTCTACGGCAGCGAGTGCTGGCCCCTGAACAAGAATCACGAAAGGCAGCTTCACTCCGCTGAAATGAGGATGCTGAGATGGGCCTGCGGCTGGACGCGACTGGACAGGGTCAGGAACGAGGATGTCAGAGCGGTCATGCAGACTGCCCCTGTCCAGCTGAAGGTGAGGGAGCAGCGACTGCGGTGGTATGGGCATGTGCTAAGAAGACCACAAGGCCACCCAATAAGGAATGCAATGGACTTCGAAGCGCAAGGCAAGCGACCGCGAGGAGCCCCAAAGAAGAGGTGGAAGGACGTGATCAAGAAGGACCTAAGTGAAATCATGGCCACTGCAGGGGATGCCCTGGACAGAGCGAAGTGGCGACGACTGACAAAGACAGCGGACCCTGCGACTGCGCGGGACTAACGCTAGGGAGAAGAAGAAGAAGAACGCTGTAGAGAAATTGCAGAAGTTTTGCGCCTCATATGATGTGATGTTATGTTTTGTGCCTAACGGTTGGAATCGACTGTTCCGAAGGATCGACGTAAGGGGATCGGATGCGCTTCCTTTGCCTTCCTCATATTACGTTGATAGGATAGATTTCCGTCGTTGCTCAATTGAGGTGTGATTTTTGATGAATTGCACTTCGGCCTTGCTGTCTTTGGCTTTGCGGGGCTGTAGCACGCACAGCGCACGATCCAGGCGTTTCTCTCCAAGCAACTGTGGCGTTAGTGTTAGGAGTTGGGCGTTCTTCATGTTCTATCTACTTTAAAGAGGTTTTGAATGAAAATTTGACCTCGGCGACCTATCATGCCTCAAAGCTGGCGGGTCGGCGATCTCCGCCCACCGATCATCTGATCACTCGCCGTAGTTCAATACGTGGCGAGTGATTAGATAGCTGAGAGAGCGTAGTGTTGAAGAGGGCACAGCGATGAGAGTCGCATCAATGCTCAAATCAACGGGCAAGGAAGGGGTCCCATTTCTCGGGTTCTGGGCCGTTTCTCATGGTTCTTCCTTCTTTCGTGTACCACTCACCATCCCTAGGTTAATTTGAAATGGGTTGCTTTTTCATCGTGAATTCGTCCTTTAAGGAAATATTGTAGCACAATGCGCTAATAACCGGCCAGCAATTGTCCGTTGCTAGAGGAATGGAACAGTCCCCACAAAAATTCTACAATCTTTTTGCTAGTATGGAAGCATAACAGAATATGCACTGCAGTGCGTTAAGCTCACATATCAGATCAAAAACCATGTCCTGAATTATGAATGTTTACCGCGAAATGGTGAATCTGAGGGAAAGCCTCACTTCTTTTCTTCTCATGGGTGTTTCAATCAATAACCACCTTTTGTGTACTGGAGCGGTTTTCTAAATATGCTCCAAATTTTATTGAGCTAGCTTCCATTCTCCAACCCAACTACGTCACTTATGATCAATAGAGGAAAAGTACGAAGTTTCACGCAAGAAGATATATGTGGATATATGTACATGGAAAGAAGCACGCCTTGGGGCGGCTTCTGGATAGCGCGTTGTTTTGTGGGAGGAAGAGATCTATATGAA